AACCCTGGGGTACGGCAGAGCCACAACAGGGGGTCAAAGTTTACCATAGAAACAACCGCAACCAACTCTCGCCGGGCTGAACTTTTAAACTTCTCATTGAAACTAAACATTCCGTGAGATACCCCATGTCTGAATTCAACCATATAACCCCAAAAAGCATGTTCACTAGCATCTGAATACACCACCTTAACACAAGAAGGCTGACACATTAACTTCCTAATTTTGATTGCTTCAATATCATCTACCCAAACCTGAATTTGTCAACAACTTTCATACGATAGAACAATGAAATCATTCCACGACTTTGAACTCAAAATATCAATTGTCAAACATCGAGTCATACGCTGACTAACTGAAATAATCTGCCCTACAAAACTAGCTTTTTTTCTTACCAAACTTTTTCTATTTTTGACAATCTCAGACATAATGTCTGTACCTGTTTCCCTGTAATATCCTAATCACTCCAATTTTCCCGGAGGACACCCATACTATTTCTGTTCATTAATAACAAAACCACTCGACCATTAATCCCTTCGAACACTCTCTGACATTTACCTACATATAGTTGACTATAAATCTTTCCCAATACCGATACCATCGTCCAAATACATAACAACACTTTCCCCCTCTCCTCTCCACCTTTTAATCACTGGCCTTGTTACCTTTGTAAAAACGTACGTAGCAGATTTCAACCCAAAAGGAAAAAACAAAAATTAAAAAAAATGTTCTCCGTTTATAATCCAGGAAAACCCCAAAACCTCTGGATACAACGTTTCAATACGATGATATGCAGAATGCAAATTAAAAGTAAACATGAGTGCGTTATTTTTAAGAAACACTAAAGCCGTTCTTATATCCTCATACTTTACACTTTGTTGAAGAACCTGCATGTTAACGCATCTCGGATCTAAAATGAGCCTCTTTTTATTAGTTGATTGTACACAAACTGTAAGCAGATAGAAAATGTCGGCCACTTCATTACATTGTTCAATAAGACCTTCCTTTATTAAATCTGTTATTGCACTTTCAATAAAATCTTTTTGTGATAATGAAGACTGATTATTTTTATGAAAACTCCTTCTAGACATACTGTACAGAGGAAATTTATACCTATACATTATAATGTCTAACACATTATAGTTAGCACCAATTTGCTCCCAGAAATGTACATGGGATCTTTATCTACCCTTAATATTATAAGAGTTGAAGCTTTGACTTACAAATTCATAAGTGTTTAATATATAATACTCATCTTTAACAAACTGAAAAGCGTCAGACTGCACTCTGACTGTCCTCCAGTTCTAGGCGCGGCTCTGGACCTGATGATAAGCGGGCCTTCTCGTTGTAGGTGGGTGAAATCCCCGTACAGATAGCACCCACCGAATCGAAAGGGATACGTGCCTGACCGTTGTTTGTGCGGCGCTGCAACACGTGGAACATAAGAAATAACAGAAGTGGGTGCGACATAGCCGGAAAACGGATCTGGTGCTGTAGCGACTGGTTGAGGCTTCAAATCCTTCCCTGCCCCCGACCGATTGTCAATTTTATGTTTCTTCATGACCCGATTCTCCGCCTTATAAACCTTGCTTTCATCATTTGAATCACTGAATTAGACACGTACTGATTCACCGTGTCCTATCATCCAGCTGAAGAATCAGCGATTCTTATGTGTAAAAATTGTTGATTTTTAATTTAAGTATACTTCCGAATGAAATTCGTACGCATGTAAAGAAAAATGTAAGTTTATTCACCTTGTAACTATATAAAAGATTGCTTCTCAAGGAAAATGCATCAAAATGATACTCGTTAGTACTTAACATGTTAAGAAAGATTTACATGAAGCTGTCGGTGCATAGTAAACAAGGTAGTGTAGGGCGTAATGTGTGCGCAGATAGTCATATGCCTTATATGGAATTGACTGTGATCGGCCGAATCCAATAAAAAAAAACGTGTTTGTCTTAATTCGTGCATCAAAGGGTTTGGTATCTGGAATTCAGCTCGAGTTTCAAGAGAAAACACTCAATGTCTCAATAATTTTATAACAGCCACGAAAATACAAAATAATAATAATAATTAAAAGAACGAAAAACAAACAAATTAATTTAATTCATTAGAATCTTTTTTTTTTTTTTTTTGCATTTTGTTTGTGTTACATCCGGAATTATTATATTGCATAAATGTTGTTTTTTATGCTATAATCAATTGGAATAAATTTGTTCACAATGGCTACGTTATTGTAGCCATGTGCTCGGTAGTCAATAATGCTGAAATAGAGCAAACACAACAAAATGGCGAGTTGTTCCTTACGTCACGGGTTCGAATCCCACTGTGGGACGTGGAGACCGGTCCTTCGGATGAGACCGTATAAACCGAGTTCCCGTGTCGCAGTAGGTGTTGGATCGAAAAAGATCCCTCACTGCTCAATGGCCCTTAGTGCCGAGTATAGATCAAAATTTGTAGCTCAAGTGGTGGCGTCTCCATATGAGTGAAAAATTCTCGAGAGGGACGTTAAACAATAAACAAACAAACAACAAATTGGCGAGGAGGTAAACTATTTAAACCTTGCAAAAAGTTTCATTCTTGTCCGATGTTATAACTCGTTCTGTAAAATTGGATCTGTGGTGATAATTCGTAAGAATCAGCAGAATGGCAGCGCTTGGATTGATCGGCAAAATTGACCCCTTTGATGAAACGCTCGATTCATGGGAGTGTTATGTTGAACGTTTTGAATAATATTTCGAGAAAAACGAAATCGACGCTGGAACGAAGGTATCATCTTTATTGTGTATAATTAATTGAAAGTTGTATTCACTGCTTTCGTGACCTGACATTTCCCGACAAGCCAGCGACGAAGTCGTACGGAGAAGTGGTAAGACTTCTAAATAGTCATTTATCCCCTAAACCCATTAAAACGGTAGAACGTTTTCGGTTTGATAAAAGAGATCAAAAGGAGGGAGAGACTAGTGCTGAATATATTTCACAGTTAAAGAAACATTCGATTCATTGTGATTTTAATGCGTCACATAATGAAAACCTGAGAGACAGGTTAGTGTGTGGTGTAAGAAATACTCAGATTCAGAAACATTTTCTGTCAGAAAAAAAACTTGTCTTATGAGAAAGCAATAGAAATTGTATCAGTAGCCAGGGAAGCCGCAGCTAAAGATGCTACAGAATTACAGAGTAGGAACAGGAGCGAGACGGGGGCTGTAGGCAGGTAGGTTAAGGCTTCCCATAGAATATGACAGTCCACTCTGTGCCTTCACTTCTCTGAACTACCAAAATAGCACGTCATAATTGAAAATGACGTCTATTCACTGCCAACTTGAGGTGTTATGACGGGGAGAGTGTCATGAACTTTACACTTTATTTCAAACTGCATGTAAAGTGCTAGATAGCTATTGCAAAACTCACGGGTCGTTAAAGATTTTTTTAAGTCTTATATGTCTGAATATTTTAAAAATACATCGCTTACGTACCCTTGATTGAAATTCAGCATGTTCAAAATGCTTACGAAAAATGTACTTTTGAAATGTACTCTGTACTCCCGTGGTTGGAGGTAGAATTTATTTTGTGTGTATAAAAAATCTGGCGCAGGTGACTAATGAGGATTTATCTGAGATTTTTTGAGAAAAATCTGTAGGAAGAGGTAGTTCTCTATCTGAATCTTGCTTGGGAAAAATGTGTGATGGCTTTGTTTTAATACAGATTACGATATTTTGTGGAAAATACCCTCAAATTTGTAGGTAAGTTGAATTTCTAACGAAATATTTTGTACCCGAGTTATACTGTGACTTTTCCCAAGCACATTTCGGGTACACAAGGATACGATGAGTTTATTTATATAACAAAATGTTAATAATTATTGTGTTAGTCGGCTGCGCTGAAGCGATTTATGTGAAATACTTCAAAAAATTATAAATGACCGTCACATGATCAACAAAGTCATGTGATATCATAATAAATATATTAATATATAGCCGAGGGAATCCTCTATCTAAATTGGAAGTACTAAAGTACAATACCTTTAAGTTAAAACCAATGAAATATGTTTTGAGCGCATTTTAAAGCTTCGGGAAGCCTTAACATAGCTGCGTAAACAGACTACGTGTGAAAAGCAGACATTCAAAGTTCAGTGATAAGAATGACAAGAAACAGTGCTATAGATGTAATGGCAGCAGCCACATTGCACAGGAATGTCGTTTCAAAGATACGGTGTGCCACAACTGCCATAAGCGTGGACACATTCAAAAGGCACGCGCTCGAAACCAACGACACCTAAAAAGCCAGCTCAAAGGGAGAAATCTGACAATTTCGTAAGTGATGATCATCAGGAACCAAGTGATGACAATTACATAGCCAGTTTGAACAATTTGACTAGCAAGGATATTATATGGATCAAGCTAAAAATAAATGGAGTAGTGATGAAGATGGAGCTAAATACTGGTCATGGCGGAGGGGGAGTTCCGGAAGAAGTTCGGAAAAGTGAAACCAAAAAAAAAAACAAAAACAAAAAAAAAACCTGCAATAACTCTACGCACAAACTCAGGAGAACACATTAAGCCAGTTGGTTATATGGATGTAAAGGTTGAGTATGGTGACACCAAACAGACATTGCAATTGTATGTTGTTCAAAAAGGAAGACCAGCTCTTCTTGGCAGAGAAAATTCAACTTGATTGGAAGGTATTAAAAAAGACACATTCTATTCACACTGTGAAATCAACGAACGTCAGTGAAATCTTGGAGAAATACAAGGACTTATTTAGTGATGAGGTGGCCGTGGGAACTGTCAAAGGTATCACGGCTAAGCTGTCACTCAAGGAAAATAAACCCAAATATGTCAAAGCCAGGACTGCCATTTTCCTTAAGAGCAAAAGTTGAGGAAGAACAAAGCCATCAGACATTTTTTCCCAAGCAAGATTCAGACTGGAGGCAGAAGGAACACTAACAAAAGTTCAACATAGTGCCTGGACAACGCCAATCGTACCTGTTTTGAAGAAAAATGGGAGTGTAAGAATTTATGGAGACTTTAAGGTCACTTTCAATCCACTACTTAATGTTGACCAATATCCACTACCGAAAATAGATGTCATTTTCGCAAACATGAATGGAGGAACACATTTCTCGAAGATTGACTTGAAACAAGCTTACTTACTACTTCCAGTGGGTGAAGCATGCAAGAAGCCTTTCACCATAAGCACACACAAAGGACTGTACCGTTACAATAGAATGGCACTTAGAATTGCGTCTGCACAAGCAATTTGGAAGAGGACCATTGAGCAAGTTCTACGAGGTATCCCAGGGCCTCAGTGTACATGTATTTTAGATGACATGGTTATCACGGGAGAGACTGATGAGCACATCAGAAATTTGGAAAATAATTTTCTTTTTGTTTTTAAAAAAAGTAAAAAAAAGATGGGTGTCCCTCAGTGGATTTGAACCGCGATCCTTTGGCTTTGAGAGCTTCCGCTTGTTCCACTAGGCCAGAACGCTTTCAAGTAGTTGGTATTTAAATTATTTTGTGATGTTTATTATATTAAGGGACACTAATTTGTTCATCGTAGTAATTTGAGGGATTAGGTTTAGGGTATTTAAATTTTGGAATCAGTTTTTGTAATCACTCGACAAAAGTTAGCCAACGACTCGCTAGTTTTACACACACACACACACACATATATATATATGTGTGTGTGTGTGTGTGTGTGTGTGTGTGTGTGTGTGTGTGTGTGTGTGTGTGTGTGAGGGAGGGTGTGTGTGTGTGTGTGTGTGTGCGTGTGTGTTACAATTTTAGATGATTTTCAGATGTTGAATGAAGTTTGCTGAACATTGACAGTAAATCTTTTCTATCAGGATGTTCACTGATTTTGCCTCTCAGCTTTAGACTTTGGTGGTGTTTCCCGTCAGGATATACTCCAATATCACCCGTTATATGGATGCTGATCTTGCCCTCCTGCGGACGTGATCGTCTTTGTACAACACTGCTTTAATAAATGGCTAACTATGTCTTATCCTACATTCTGTGTTTGTTTTATTTTTATATTAGAACAGGAAATGATTTATGTTCGGCTAAGCGAAGCGAAAGAGAACATAATGGTTTTGAAAAGACTTAGTCAGTATGGTTTGCGTGAAATTTGAAGAAATGTGAATTCTTCAAAGAGAATATAACATTCTGTGGACATATGATTGACAGATATGGTCTACACAAGACACCAGAGAAAATTTACGCTATAGTGAAGGCACCCTCACCAACCAATGTTTCCCAGCTAAGATCTTTCTTAAGTTTGGTGAATTATTATGGTAAATTCTTATCTGACTTGGAAACTGTACTTAGACCCTTACACCATTTGCTGCAGAAGGACAGTCATTGGAAGTTGACAGAGGCTTGTGAGGAGTCATTCAAAAAAATGGAGGACTTGGTAACTTCAGATCTGGTGTTGACACACTATAGTCCAGATATACCCATCTCTCTAGCATGTGACGCATCACTCTATGGACTAGGTGCAGTTACGAAGTCGTGCGAAGAAGTGGGAAGACTTCTAAATAGTCATTTATCCCCTAAATCCATTAAAAGGGCAGAACGTTTTCGATTGTATAATGTGGGATGTCCGGGTAATTATACCTACCAAACTCAGAGAATAAGTGTTATCTCAGGTTCATGATGGACATCTCGGAGTTGTCAAGATGGAGATGCTTGTCAGAAGTTTCTGTTGGCGGCAAGGAATTGACAAGGACATTGAAAAAGTGGCTAAGAGATGTCAAGGATGTCAACAGAATCAGAATGCACCTAAGGGAGCACCACTGAATGCATAAGAATGGCCAACCAAGCCATGGGAAAGAGTTCACATAGATTTAGCTGGACCCTTCCTAGGATCTATGTTCTTGATAATGGTGGATTCATACTCAAAGTGGCCAGAAGTGGTCAAGATGACTACTACTGCGTCAATGCAAACTGTCGATGTTCTGGGGGCTGTATTTTCTAGAAATGGACTCCCAGCTACAATCGTCAGTGGTAATGGACCACAATTTACTTCTAGAGAATTTGAAGATTTCTTGAGTGCAAATGGTATTCAGCACATTAAAACTACCCCATACCATCCATCTAGCAATGGGTTAGCTGAGCGCTTCGTACAGACATTCAAACAGGCCATGAAATGTAGTAAAAATGAAGCAGGCGGTGTGAATAAGAAACTAGCAAACTTCTTGTTAGCTTACGGAAGCACTCAACATTGCACTACCAATGAAACACCAGCAAAATTTATGATGGGAATGGAGTTGCGAACAAAAATGGATCTGCTAAGACCAAATGTAGAATTGCATGTTAAGCAGAAACAACAACAGATGTGTGCACAGAGAAGTTCACCTCCTCGGGAGTTTGAATAAGGACAGTCGGTGATGATGCGGGATTACAGAAGTGGAAATGATAAACAGATATCCGAAACGATTGCTAAAAGAACTTGACCGGTATCTTATCGAGTCCAAGTTGACCCAACAACTCAGTGGAGGAGACACACAGACCAGATTGTCAAATCGCAAGTTCCAATGACATCACCAAGTATTGAGATTCCTGAGTCAGTCAGCACAAGGCCTACCTTTGAGGACAAATCGGTTGCACCGGATTCCAATTTCTCAAAACAGGAAGAACCCAAAGTTGCGAAATCGCCGAAACCGGTTCATACATCACCCAAAACTACGGCTGTCTTGCTAGAGAAACGTCATCCAGTACCTACCAGAAAACAAAAAAACCTTGAAGATTTTGTGTATCATGGGTCTTCTACCAAGACCAAAACCTAATTTGTGTGTTTGTGTATTTTAGGGTGCAGGTTTTACTGTGTCTAGGGGCACAATAATCCCCTGTACAACTTGCTGGAAACATCTTCTTTCTGTTCAGTATAGTCAAAATATACATGCATTGTGTTCATTGTATACATGAAGTATTCTTTTATTTCCTTTTATTTGCATGCTGTAGATAATAATGCATGTGCTTTAGGTTTATAAAATTGACTTTGTGAACATACCAAAATTCAGTGAAGTTTATCTCTGACATTTAAGAACTTTGAACAAATACAGTCAGTAACATTTGATACGCTAAAATCATGTACATCAATCTAAAGGGGGAGAAAATGTTATATCCGAAGTTATTGTACTTGGATATGTTTGGTTTTACTTGCTATAATTATTCGGAATAAATAAAGTTCACAATGACTGCGTTATTGTAACCATGTACTCAGTAGTCAGTAATGCTGAAATAGAGCAAACACAACAGATTGTATCAAAAAGTATTATTATTATGTCATTTCTTTATTCTAAGAAGGAATCTTATTTAAAGCAGAAAACTATTGCATATACATACATACTTAAAAATTCTAAGGAACTTTTGGAAAATTTGAAATCACAAGATTTTACCAAAATCAACAGCTTTAAAACTTACGACTTTTCTACTTTATACACAACCATTCCCCACGATAAATTAAAGTCCAGGCTTTTTGATATCATTGACAGCTGCTTTTTCAATAAAAATGGAACTCGTAAATATACTTATCTTGTCATTGGTCAATTGCAAAATTATTTTGTTAAAAAACATTCTGATTGTACACACAAGTGCTCTGAAGTTGACATTAAAAAGATGCTTGAGTTTCTGATTGACAATATCTATGTGGTTTTTGGAGACTAGGTCTTCCAACAATCTATTGGAATTTCTGTGGGTACCAATTGCGCCCCGTTATTAGCAGACCTTTTTTTGTATTCGTATGAAGCAGAATTTGTCCACACTCTTGTACGTGAAAAGAAGACAACACTTGCTGTGGCGTTCAACTCGACATTTAGATATATCGACGACGTATTGTCAATTAACAATGGCTATGAACATTCTTATGTCGATACGATATATCCTGGTGAACTTGAGATAAAAGATACCACAGAGTCTGACACATCTGTTTCATTTTTGGATATTTTACTTGAAAAAGACGTTAATGGTAATCTAACAACCAAGCTTTATGATAAACGTAATGACTTTAACTTTTCAATCGTCAACTTCCCTTACTTATGCAGCAATATACCTTCATCACCTGCATACGGGGTATATATCTCTCAGTTGATTCGATACGCAAGAGCATGCTCTACGTTTGTACAATTTCTAAAACGAGGCAAATTATTGACAAATAAGTTGATGAAACAAGAATATCAGCTGTCTCGTTTAAAGTCATCATTTCGTAAGTTCTATGGTCGATACAATGACCTTGTCAGCAAATACAATTTATCATAGAGTCAAATGCTGACTGACGTTTTTCATACTAATTGTTAGGCCATTATTTACACACTGAATTGTCGACGGATTTTTCCGTTATTTCCCGATCATGACAAGGAGCACACGACGGGTGTGACCGGTCGGCAGGGGATGCTCACTCCTCCATGGCACCTGATCACACCTCTGATGTTTGGAGGTCCGTGTTTGCTCTGCTCCTATTTTGTATTGTATAACGGACTTTTGAGCTTGAATACTGTTCGTTATCTCCATATATTACATATAGAAAGTTAAAATTGCAAATTGGCTATTGCATTCATTACTCTTAATCCACATTTTTTGATTGATTTATTGTACGTTGTTCTACGTTGAATTCAAGAATCCCATTCAACCATAAAGAAATCCCTCAAGTACTAGAAATATTATTACTGTAAATCATTGTTTGATTGAATTTGTTCTGTAAAAAGGACTAGTCCAGTTTTACTATGTCTACTTCTAAACTACACAGGCATTTCACGTTCATATAGATAACTTTTTATTTAAAGAGATGACTATTTCATGTTTCAAATATGCAGACACAAAAGCTGGTGGCTACATTTTGGGGTGGAGGTTTTTTTTTCTTTTTGAAAACTGTTGTGTGTACGCGGCAAGAAAAAGGGTGTCCGTGAATTATCACAGTGTCCTAGTTGTAGTAACTTCTCTGAACTACTTAGATATGACGTCATAATAGCATATGATATCAAGTCACTGCAAACTGCGGAAAGTGTCATAACATTTGAGTTGCGTCTAGCGAAAAGGGGCCTTCGTGACATAAACGTAAAATTTTACGTCACAACAGCGTTTAAAAGACGTGAGGTCTCGTCTGTGTGCTTGCCGAAGAAAACGTCCTCATGCGATAATGAATGTACATGTATGTTATACTAGCTGCGAAAGTTATACAGACTTCTGAATCCTCTCTTCTACGCGGTCACCTTGGTGCAACAGCAGTGATCATTTTCAAGAGTAATTTTAAATCCTGTATTCATTGTCTGTAAATGAGCTGCAATAAATCACATCTAAACACGGTAACACAGGGTAAAGCTGATGCTGATGAAGTCGAACATCAACAGCGAAGTTGGTTCATCTAGAACTTAAAATTAGATTTGTTCCGCTTTCAACGTGTAGGCCTATAGTTTCATTTTCTGGTTTTAGGTGTAATAATTTTATTTCAGGCAAATAGTTCTGGACTATAATTAGCAAATCTTGGGCTCATAACCTTACATAATATTGTATAATTTAATGGTTAGGTCTAAATTTTTGTCCCTTTTATTCATTTGCTAATGTTCGTTTTATATTTATCACAGTTTACCACAACGAAAAGAGAAAATCCATCTCCAATTGTTCCCCCTCATTTTTTTTCTTTTCTTTTTTTAAAGATTTATTCATTTTTCACTTCGCTTTTTTTTTTTAAATTTTGCTTGTTCGTTTTCGTTTTTAATATTAAATTCGTTTTAGTCAGACTCCTACACTTTGAAAGCATTCCTACATATACAAGTTTAACCAAAAAACAAACAAAACATCGCTTATCAATTCGAACAACTAAATTTGGTACCGGGTCGTTCTCTTGAAATTCAAATAAAGCCGTGAAGTAATTTTTTCGTCCCTTGAATGTTACGTCATTTCATTACAATTTGTGTATTTTTTCCCTTATATTTGCAGAGAATCATTAGAATTTGATATCTGAAATCGTGCACCCCCTTTCTTAGTGTTACCATATATTCCACAGTTTAGAAACCTGTCTTAATTTACACTATGCAATTGCAAAATAAATGCCTATTAAATTTTGTGCTTACGCCCTGTCAATAATATTGTCTGATGGGTCTTTTTTTATCTTTGTTAAAACAGTTTATTATTATGCCTCCTCCCTCAAACAAAATTGCTTCCTATACGTGCCTGTTTACCGCATATGATTTGAAAAATATGTAATATTTAAAAAAAAAAGGGAATGAAAGAAAATTGAAATTTCTACAATTACAATATCCAACCGCGTCATGTCCGACTTTGAATCCTTCTTTCTTGGACGAAAATGATTTAGAATGAAAAGTTGGAAATTTTTAATTGTAATTATATGCTTTTAAAATAACAATACTTTAATTTATTTATTTATTTATTTTTGATATGGCGTACATATTATGCAATAATTATGAACTATTATATTAATCCAGGCATGTAGCATCAGAGGGCTGCCCCTTTATTTCAAACATAAGCCTCCTCCCCCCACTTTTTGTTGCAGTCAAATAAGGATAAGCAATATACATGTAGTTTATATATAAATATACATAAAAGAATTGGTATTGAAGTTGGAACGCCCCCCCCCCCCGAAATAGGAATTTCGAGCTTTGTCAATCTGGTTTTTTTTAAGTAAGTTGATGTTTTTTCTCTGGAAGCCTCCCCCCCCCCCTTTTTTTTTCAAAATCCATGCTACACCCCTGTAATCACAAAATACAAAATTAAAGCAAATTGACGTTTTTGCTAACACATGCTGAGAATAAATTCAAGAAATTTCTACCGATTACAGCTTGTACATTTATTGTTTAGATTTTCAGAGGTGAGGCCGATTTCAAACCACTTATACATGTATTATATTATAATAATCATTGACACTGAATACGTAATAGCCCGAAAATTTACATGTACGAGTATATAACTTGCCATATTTATAAAAAAAAGTCCATTTTTTAGGGAATTAATGTTTGATTTGTACTTTTATGTTAAAACGTCATCCGGGGCCCTTTATTGGGCACTAAAATACTTTGTATGAGACAACCAAAACGTGTACATGGAGCAGTAGGTGGTACATAAGAAAAATACACCAGAAGCTAAATATATAATTCAGTACCTTTTGAAATGGAATAACGTCTGACATTTCATGCTGTCCGACTGATTATTTCGCACCAAGCCAAGATAGTATGATTATTTTTTACAAATAATTTTTTGTAATGAACAAATTAATTTCCTTCGTCCATAGTCAAATATTATTTACCATAAAAGTAAAATACCATTTTTTTTCTTTTTACAGAATTGAACAATATAACGTGCTTTTTTCCAAGCACAACGTACCGGGCTCAATTTTTCAGTAGAAGCCCATTTTTTCTCTCTCTCTTTCTTTCTTTTCCCTATGTTCAAAAATTCTATTTCATGTACTGATATTATTAAGTCACAATTCATGATACAATTTGTGTATATTGGATATATTTTAGCATCATAAATCACTGACGTACAGGCACGTAGCATCGTTGGGGGGATGTTGAGAAAAACAAAACAAACAGGAAAAGCCTATTTTACATGTAAATGGGGGGGGGAGAGATTTTCAGTATCATTTCCGATAGAAATAAAGTGATACGGACATCGTTATTTAAAAGTGTGTAAAAATAATTGAAAGCAAAAAATAAAAATCCTAGAAATAAAATTTACAAGCACACCCAAGAAATTGAAGTATGATTATGTTGATGATGTAAGAAAAACATATTGATGAAATGATGTCGTTGAATACATTCCTTGAAAATTTACTACTTACTTTGTTTTTCAGTATACATATACATGTTAATGATATTTTTTTTCTTGGACAAACATCACTATTTTACAATAAATAGATTCATTTCATGATATGAATTTTTAAATACAACTAGTAAAATTAATTTCTACCTTGGTTTCGGCAATGACGTTACAATGATGTTATGTGACGTTATTAAATGATAGCGTTAGCTTGTAAGCATTGCACTGATTTCATTTTAAGTTTTAATTAGAATTAAGTAGATATCCAATAAAGATTTGGTATTAAAATATTTAAAAGGACTTGCTCTATCAGAAATTGTCAAAAAAGCAATTTTTTGGAAATTTGGCCAGGATGTCCAATTTCGCTTGGCGCAACTCACTTACATTACTTTCGTATGACATTTGAAAATTTTGTTACGTTGATGTTAAGTTTCAGTGTGCTATTATGATGGTGACAATTTGCAAGATTAAAAACGATTTTCCTTTTGCCTGCCTGATACACACGTATTCAAACAATAACTAAGAATAGAATGTGAAATGACCCCCTTTACACGTCCGTACACAGAGTTAAATTTATAAATGTATATATTAAGACTAGCGCAAGTGATTAATAAGGATAAAATGAAAATATTTTGTGTGAATCTATAAGATTTACATGTACGTCCTCTAACAGAATCTTGCTAATGAATGGGATTCATTCTCGTATTTTCCCGCGATAGGTGGCGTGACGGTTCTAGAGGTGGTTAACTGAGCGTTTGATTTTCGCGTCATCGCTTTTAATGCATGTAAACAAATTCAGTATTGCCAATAAACATCAATTTTATCAACAGTATTGCTGTGTCCCAGGATGTCATAATTCAGGAGGACATAAATTCCCATCAGATCTAGAGCTACAACAGAAATGGATCGTTGCTATTAAGAGAATTGATCCGAAAACGAAACGTTTATGGAGACCTAAGAAACACGATGTTGTTTGTCATTTACATATTCGGGCAGATGATTATAGAAGCACTGGACTATTAGGTACGTCTAACAAAAGTTATTATTATTTATGTTATGTTTTAAAGTAAATTTATTCATTTTACGTATTCTTGATTTAACACATGAATTTAAAGTTCGTGTTGCTTGTGGTTTCTTGTTTCTTTTCCAATTGATACTCATCCAAGTCCTTGAAGTATAGACGGTACCATACAGATAAGATTTACAAATATAACCATATCTATATGAATTACTTTTATTAATTATAAAAGCACAATAACTAGCCGTTATGCTTAAAAATAATTGTAGAGGAACACCTATTATTAAGATATAAAGTAGATACATAGGAAGCCCTGAGGGGTGCTCTTTATTTATAAAAATATCACATTTTATATCATGTGCTTACATAATTATTCTAGTACTGATTTTTTTTTCCTTCTTGATAGAATTACTTGGGTTTAGAAAAATTAAAACACTCCCAGCCCCTGACTCTTACCCCCATTTATATATTGTGACATGTCACAGTATAAAAGCAGGGGTAAGAGTCAGAAGAATCTCGGATTTCCCTATGAAAAATCTTTCCAAGAGGAGTATCTTGATCTGTGTACAAAACAATTAACCTGTGATAGGGAGGCATATTAAAAATATTTGTAAAATATGAAAATCGGTTACAAAAGGATATTTTTTTTTATTGTGCAAGAGCTTTAATATGTAATGTGATTGTAATGTGTCTTTTGTTGAAAATGTTTATGATTCTCTGATGTACTATATGTTACTTTAGGAGACCGTTCCTGTTTGAAAGAAAACTCAATACTAACAGTGTTCGAGTTTCGGAAAAGCATCACTGATGAGTCACCAAGAGCAAAGCGTTACAAAAGCAGAGAGGCATCTGATGATCTATCTGTGCAGCCTGAGCTTGGCAGCTTAGATTTTCAATATGAAACTGAAGTTACAACATGTACACATGGGATGATGGAGGAAAATCCAAAACCAGAACAAAATTGTCCCAGTACTTGTAATGAGGAAATTCAGTGTGAAATTCCTTTATCAGAAAAGTACTCTATTGATAATTTTCGTTTTGATGTGAAGGCGGTTTTGTATTACACATGATTTGATGATTTTGACCATTATATGATGTTCTTTTACTGCTTGGGGCCTGCTGCATTTGAACTGAAATATCAATGCTCTCTGTTACATCCGAAAGATCAACTGTTTATGACTCTCATGAAATTGCGACAAGCAAAAGATGATGTACAGTTGGCACTGCTTTTCAAAGTGTCAGAATCAACTGTTTCTAGGATAATAGTTCAGTGGATAGACTTCCTTTATTTTCAATTAAAAGAGCTTAACATTTGGCCGTCGAAGGATATAGTTCAGGAAACCATGCCAGTTGATTTTAAACAAAAGTTTTCAAAAAACAAGAGTTATTCTTGATGCAACTGAGGTTCCTATTCAGAAACCCTCTCATGTAAATTGCCAAAGCGTCACGTGGTCAAACTACAAACACAGGAATACGTTGAAAACAATGATAGGCTGCAGTCCCAGAGGTGCGGTTACTTTTATATCCGATTCTTATGGAGGTTCAGTAAGTGACAGACAAATCATTGAGAAGTCTTCTTTGCTCGATCCTTCCATTAAATTATTTGACAAGAGAGACAGCATCATGGCAGACAGAGGAATCATGGTACAAGATTTGTTTGCCTGCCATGATGTTACTGTCAATGCACCAACCTTTTTAAAGGGTAAGTCACAGCTAGATGCACAAGAAGTGGTTAAAGATAGGAGGATATCATCAAAACGTATTCACATTGAGAGAATTTTTGGATTAAGTAAGAGTTACAAAATTCTGAAGCATGGGATACCATGCAGCAAAATTCTTTTAGGGTCTAGAATAATTTTATATGTTATGCCATATCTAATTTCAGGAAGTCTATTGTACACAAAAATGCATAGGCTTGCAGAGTGTCCAGAACTTATCATTTCATGATAGGAACTTCAGTTGCTTCAAGAATAATCACTGAATACTTAAAGCTGAACACGATTCATAAAAGGAATTCATCCGCCATATTTGATTGTTTACTCTCTATATCTGAAAGCCCCTATATAAAGCCGCTTACTTAGTCACTGTTCAGTGTAATCAGTCGTCACTGGTGTAGACAGACATATGCTATACAGCACTCAGTAGCGATGAAATATAACTGTACTTCTTCTTATGCAGGAGAGTAACATACTAAAGAAACTTGCAACAGTTGCACAGGTCAGTGCAGTATACAAACCAACACAAATGCACGTAACTGCAATAAAATGTAAACAAAGATAATGCAAGATAACCAGCACGAAACTGGTCACCATTCCACGCCCATACCAGTGACAATAAGGCAATCAGGTGTAACGAATGCGAAGGGTATGCCCCAGTGCTATAGTAGATAGTATTATCAAAACTGGCGTATGTCTATTTTTTGAGTCGTGTTCAGCTTTAAAATGTATGCAAGTTATATGTATTGCTTGATGAATGTAGGAATTTTTCATAATGATTTAGAACAAACCTGATGTTTATTAATACAGTGTACATTTTCTCTGAATGTTTTTTTCCATCACCTTTATTTGAAGCAGTCTTGTATAATTTCTGAAAGAGGATTATATTCATATTGTAGCAATACAATTTTATTTTGTACATCAGTTTATGTAGCTCATTGGTTAAATCACCCAACTAGGAATGCAGGGATTCTGGGTTGGATATCTGATTATATCTGATTTTTCTCTCCTTTACTACAGTAAAATCCAATGAAAAATATTAATCTGTCCTTAGATACTAAGTAGGAGAAAAAAAGTAATTAATGAAAGACAATAGTAGCTGCATACAGCAGTTCATTTAATAGCAAACATGACGCACATAATGATTTATTCAATATTATATCAGTCCAAAAAGGTAGATATTCCAATTTATTCATCTACGTGTATTTTAGCCATGTTAAACATGTATATATATATATATATATATATATATATATATATATATATATATATATATATATATATATATATATATATATATATATATATATATATATGGCTGAATGCAAATGTCATTTTGATTACATTTAGGAATTAAAGAATGTGCAAAGCTAGTTACAATATGGTTTAAGATGAAAATCAAACCAAAAAAAATGTACATATCAGTTGTATTGAAATTATGAGAAAAAATTCTTTTAAATAATACATGTAACACATTTGGCATATACAGTTAAATTAAATACAGTTAAAACAGAATCATCTACAACTGTATCTGGGGAAGCTTCCAGACATGGGTAGTCTAAACAGACAAAAAGCCCACATTCTGTAGTTTTTATGCCAAACTTGTTTTCAAACAATTTCAAAGCTTTTTTTTCATAATTTTTTCCATGTAAAATGGCTTTGGTTTTGATATTTGAACACAAAATGGAACTACATAATTTACTGGTATTGCGTCGACAAGTAGCTCTGCATACTTCACCAAATCGCGATGCAGTCAGTCTCCACTCCCTCGCCTTAAATCATTTGGTGTTTTTGCTCTGTCCTCTTGTTGATGCTTCTATCTGGTGAATTTTTCGTTCATCAACCTACATATATTTTATTAGGCTTTATTGAAATGTTATGTCAAAATAACAATTGTTTTATATAATAACTTACATCTACTAAATACATCAAATACTACAGAATTTAGTTTTCTTTTAATTTTTTTAATTTAAATTATCATTATTATTTATGATCAAATAGTCGATAGGAAAAAGGAGAGAAAAAAAACTGTTTTTAGATGATTTCATAAATATTTTTAGTACAATAAGATTTTTGATATTTCCATGGCTTAATTACCTACCATCAAAGCATTATCAACCATTTGTTCTGTAAGTGGCAAATGACCATAGTCATGCATCATGGACACAGCCTGTATTATCAAAATAAACAAATAGTAACAACATAGATCTGTCAGCTGTAGTTTTTATATTCTGTTCTTAAAATCTGACAGCACAATTCATATTTTTAAATTTACATACATGTATGTACATGTATATGTGATAAATGTAAAGATGTATGGTTAACTGGTTAATCGTTATATTTATCTAAAAGATTTTTTTATTTGCGTGAATGTTCAATGTATGTACAAAATGTAGTACTACATAATAATTCAATAAATTATAAACAGTTATGATGAACCCTACATTAACTTAATACATGTATTTCCTGCTTTACATGCACATATACCTCAAATATACCTGAAGATTTGCTCTTGGATACAAATACCTCATAGAGATATCTTTAGATGTCACGCTGCAGTAGTTGATGATGATATTTTGCACCATAGAGTTGTAAGACGGATTGTTTCTGTGTTTGAATGGCCTCGGATCTTCAAAAAAGTCTTCATACGGCCTCTTTTTAGATGGGAGATCCTCTGCTTTTACTGAAGAACCTGTTGTGTTTCACAAAAAAATATTCAATATTTAGGGAAATAGCCAGTAGGATAAACCTACTTTAGAACATAAATATGAGCAGATTTACATAAATTTCAATGACAAAAACGATAATATGTAATATTGTTAGAATAAGTAAAGGAAGAATCTTTTTCCTGTTTAAAGCCAAACACATACCGCTGTATGTACTCTTTGGTCTATGGAAAGCCATAAGATTCTCAGTGCAGGATTTTGCGATTCTTAATGTCCCATTTTCAGCAAATCTCTCAAGCATGATGCAAACAGCTGCCAGATGTTTACAGGTGTCATGGGGCCCTCTCCCTGCTGGGCATTCACAGTGAGTGTTCAAAGGGTCACCACTCTCCTTTGAGACCCTGACTTTATAATTGTAGGTAACCTATCAAGAAGATTTTACAAATTTAAATATGTATAAACCCATACAAATAAATATGATGTCAGATGAAGTAAGTATATTATATGAAGAATAGTGCTAGTCTCTGTAAATATAATATATGACTCCTTTTTCATCAATATTTATTTCTCTCTACAAGCATTAGGCCAAGAAAAATCTCATAGATCAATGCTACTCAATACTGACTTACTTTTTGTTTCGTTGCTGCACCCACAATTCCTGTTTAGTAAATATCATTCTCGATTCAAATAGAGCAAGCCAAAACTTTGTTGGAGTCAAACATGTCTTGGCCCTTTACCAATGCTTTCAAATCTCCAGTACATTGTCTGTCATCTACTTAAAGATAATATCTAATTAATATGATATTGACCTATTAGAAAGTATTGACCAAGGTGATTTACCCTGGCTTTCATCCTTTTTTTATACTGATAGAAGCTTCCTTCAATTCTCAGAGTTATATTTCGATCGTTAATGTATACCTGCTATTCGATATAGCAAATATGCTTCTATCTGTTCCCGTGTGATTTTGGGAAGAATGTGCTGGTGTTCTTGAAGAATATGTTTAAAGCCAGCCACTGGCCATCCATCATCAAGGGGTTCTGGTAGTAAAACTGGATCTTCCTTGAAATTCTGTTTGCGATCATAGGCCTCTAATCTACCAGTAAATTAGGCCTATATAATTAGTATAAAATGGCTAATATAACAAACAGTCATCAATGTCATAAATCCTGTAGGAAATACACATTAGAGAATTGGGCAATAACTGGATATATATATTAGAATTGTGTTGCTTTATATTTATTAATATGATTATGGTTGACATCTGTGTCTAAGCTGAATCACAGAAATAGACATTTTTGTCTTTAAGGTGTTTAATTCATTACTAATGAAAACAACAACAAACGCTTGAGATTTCATTGAACACCAGAACGAAACAAACTCAAAACTGCTGACTCCTGTGGTGAAATTCATACTCGCAATTTTCATTTCTGGTATAATTAAATATGTAATCTTATTGAGAGGCAATAATGTTAACTATATCAAATATAAATTAAAAATAAGAGCCATGGAATATACCGCACAAACTTTGTCATTACGGGAGACATCTCGGTAGCCTAACCATGCTAACGTGGTTCAACTTCTAATGTTTACAAGAGGAAATATTTACCTGTCTATAAGTTCCTGCTTTCGACCAATTGTTACTGCACCTCTTTTTATCAATTCTTCTTTTATTTGAGGGACTTTCCAACAGGAATAACGAGAAGAAGTTTCATCCATGACTTCTGCTTACAACGTTTACTTACAGACGCTTGAATTTAAGCGCTCTTCTAACCACCTCCAGTACCGTCGCGCCACCTAGCGAGTAATGACGTGAATACATACTATTAAAATCATTAGAAATAACTATTTGTCATTTTATTAATACGTGTTTCCAACAATCCTCCAAAAGAGATTTCAGTCTGTCTTTACTGCAATTGATAGTCTACACGATCCATTGTTGAATACCGATTCCGTTGGATTTTTATTGTATTTATATAAGTTTGTGTGGTAACTGAATAGCATACAGTTTCAAAGTACTTTTTCATGAGCTAAACATGTTTTCAATAATCATTTAAAATAGATTTCAGTCTGTCTTTACTTCAATTCTCAGCCTACACGATCCACAGTGAAATACCGATCACGATGTATTTTCATAGTATTTAAATATAATTTTGCCTGGCAACAGAATATCATACGGCTTCAAATAACTCTATCATGAGCTCATAAACATGTCTAAATGCTAATTATCTAAAGCCTGCCTCTCAAAATCTAAAAGTGATTAATTATTTTTAATTAAACTGCCTCAGATATTTTTTTGCAAAGTAGATCAGAGGTCAAGGTCAAGTGGATTGTAATGCTAGTTTTTTTTCAAATTGTCTAATTTCAAACAGCGCACATGCTAAATAGCATAGTCTTACCTCTTAGATATCAAAATATGCTGTTTATCGGCACTATGAAATATTTTGAAAGTTGTTCGAAGGTCAAGGTCAAAAGGTCGATAACCATGGTAATTTACAAAAGCCTTAGTGCCAAGCATTATATGTGCAAAACATCATATCCATACTTCTTACAGTTCTTGATATATAGGATGTGACAGACAAACAAACGGACAGACAGACGCCGGTAAAGTGATCCCTTGGTGCCGCTCTGTATTGCAGGCGGTACAAAAAATATATTTTCGGAATGGAAAAAGGATCGCGACTATGGCTTGTAAAACGTTGCATATATGCAAAAGTAAATATACATATGTGCAAATATACACCCGGGTGTAAATTTGCATTTACTCAGACCAGATGCAAATTTACTTTTGCGTATGTGTAAATGTACTCCTAGTGTATTTTTCTGCATGTGAACGTACAGCAAATTTTACACACATATGCAAATACTCTCTGTATTGCGTCATAGCCCAATCTAGTCAACATAAAAATGGCTGCCAGAAGAAGAGAAAGCACATGGCCAGAAGAAGAAACACTTACATTACTGTCTATCTGGGCAGATATTGAAACTGATGAGCAATTAGAAAACCCCAAAACAAACGATACAAGCATTTACAAAACTATTTCCGCCGAAATGACAGACAAAGTTTACAAACGGACTCTAGAACAATGTAAGGTTCGAATGCACACGTTGAAGCATTCTTATCTTTGAATCAGTGTAAAGGTAACATGAAGAAAGTGGAAAGGGAAGAAAAATATTAGATATTTTGAATCTTGTTGCAATTTTGGGTACTCGAACTGCATCCTCCCAATTTAAGGTGATTCACAAACGCTGTGCTGATTTCTCTTCATCACGAGGAAGGTAGTGACGATGGACAAGAAATCGAGCAACAGGTATCTGAAGAACAATCTGCTGAGAAAGGGGACAAAAATGTAGATTTGATCACAATTTGGACGCAATACATCCCCTGACCGAGGAAACAACATTGACCGGCAGGAGTGAAACGGTTCACCGCGGTATCGATTCACCGCGGTATTTTTTCTCGGTTTGATACACGGTGCAAAATCTCTAATTTTCGGTTCGATTCATTTTTCGGTCGGGATCGTTATTCAGTCGGGTTTGGCATAAGGTAAAAAACGTTACTCAGTATAAATAAGTATAGAAAACGTAAATTTTTGATGACTGATAGCTTGTAAAATAATTTTTGACAGTCAAATAATTTTAATCAATTTCTTCTAGTCAATTTGCAAATAAAATTCGTAAAATATGTGAGTAGATTTAGAAAAAGGAAGCATAAAACAACGTTGAATTTGTTTCCTGCTATCAAAATGTATCGTATCGAAAATAACCGAACCGAGACAAAATTATACAATACGTATCGAACCGAGAAGGAGGTGTATCGTTTCACCCCTATTGACCGGGGATAAGAAAGAGAAGGAGACACATAAAGCAAGCAAAGCTAATGACCCAAAAATCCCAAAGAAGGGGGAAATTATAGTGAAAAAGTACAGTAAAGGGAAGAAAGCAAACAAGAGTAGACTGGACGTAGCTTTCGGATCCGTTATGGAAGGTTTCAGCACCACAAACGAAAAGTCGGAGAACAAATGTTTGGAATTTGAAAAGAATAAGCTTGAGGTTGACAAGAAAAAAAAATAACTGGAAAAGGCCAAACTGCATGGAGTCGGAAGAACGACAGAAACAAGAGGAACGCCAATTCGCTTCTTCTGGCAATATGATGAATCTGACTATGGGGATGGTTGGTGGGCAGCGTCCCCTAGAGCTCAACACGAATGTACCACAGTTCTCATTTTTTTGAGGTACAGGACCTACCGGTATGTGCTACGTACCCCAATCTCAAAGTACCTCTTTCGTTTTACCTACTCCAGCGTCAAGGGAAAATGTGCCATCAAAGGAAGACAGTACCAGTAGCTTTGATGATGCACCTTACTATAATTTGCAGAACATAAAGGAATAAGAATAAGGGAATATGCAAGCATCAATCTGTGTACACGTTCTCCTCTTAAAGTGTTGCATAATTTTAAAAACTCTTTTTTTCCACCAAAGTAGATACATGCACAATTGTACGTGATTGTTCATTATTTTGTTTGAAATTGTTTATTAAATATTTCATTAAAATAAGCAAACAAATAACTTTTTCTCTCGTGTATTCTACAATTCAATGAAAATTAAATCTTTAACACAATGTGCAAAGTCGATAGCAACTTATTTGTTGCAACTTCGTCATGTATAACGAAGGTTCTTTGTACATTTATATACCTTTCAAAATGTCCCAGCCGATATCATCAAATACTCTTTTAAAAATCCAATAAATGTCAAAGAAGGTCATTTGCAAAATAAAGCACAAGGTCATCACGGAGGTGCTTAGCACATGAATACTCCGTTGTATCAATATCCTCCTCCAGGTCATCATCATTGTTGTCATCTTCATTGTTGCTTTCGTCCCATTCAGGTCTGTATATTTCATTACTTAGCTCGCATATGTTGTGTAGAATCACACACTATTACTGTACAGGCGAACTGGACATCAA